GAGTCCCAGCTCAGCCACTGACCCCCGCTAACCCTGGGAAGTCACTGCCTCTCCACTGCCTCTGGGCCCTGGCTTTAGCATGGGGTTAGCACTTCGTTCCTCCCAGCGCTCAGATACTGTGGTGACAAGGGCCATATGCAGGGCCGTCCTTACCCATATGCAAAGTACGCAGCTGTGTAGGGCACCCGGAAATTTGAGGTACCAAATTTCCGGGTGTCCTGCGCAGCTGCCTGCTGCTCCAGCCCCTGCTCCATCTCTTCCCCATGGCCCCCGTCCCTGCTCTGCCCCGCCTCTTCCCGCCCCTGCTTCACCCCAGCCCCGCCCCCACTCCCCTGAGGAGTGCGGGCAGGGCTGGCCCTGCACTCACCGGCGTCGGGAAGTGCAGCGGCCCAGCCTCAGCTGTGCTGCCAGTGAGTGCTGGGGGGTGGTTCCCCACTGTCCCCCAAGCCAGCCCCCCCCTCCGTGCGGAGGCCTGGAGCCAGTCCCCCTTCCCCCATGGAGGCCTGGGGCCCAGACACCCACCACATAGGGGGGCTGCATAGGGCCCCAGAATAGTTAGGGACGGCCCTGGCCATATGAACACCTAGAGAGACAGAAAGTGAGTCCGAGTCCCTGTAGGAAACAGGGTTTGCCAGACTGAAGCCCAAAGTGAGCCATCTAGAGCAGTGGGTCTGCTCCTGCTAGGCTGATCTCACCACACGACTGTTCTCCCTAGGGCCGGATTAACTTTTTGTGGGCCCGACTCCAAACATATTTGTGGGCCCCCTGGGGAATGATTGTAAAAGGGACCAGGGCAAAAGCACAGTGGGGTGGGAGCTAGGGTTGGTTCCTAGAGCAAGGGAGGGGCCAGGGGTAAACTGCAAGCGCAGCAGGGCTGGGGAGGGGGTAAACAGGATCCCCCCCTGCTCCTGCCCACATAGAGCAGGTGCCTACCTTGTCCCTGGTTCTAGCTCATTCTCTTTGTCTCTCTCTGCACTGAGCTGCCCCTCCTCCAGTGTGACAAAGTGGGAATGTTCTTAATGTTTTCTCTGAATACTGTGTGGGTGTCTCAGTTTCCCCTATGCATTTCTTAAGTATCTAGGTGGTGGGATACGGGTGTGTGATTGTTGCAGAGCCCTAGAGGGCAGGTGTGATGCTGTCTGCACAGAGAATGGCTGACACACTGTCTCCTGGCAACTGATGGCCTGGGCCCCTCCCCAGCAAGGTGCCAACTGAAGGTGTTGGAGAACAAAGAGATCAGGTGGCCTCCTGGCCCGGGGAAAGAGACAAAGGACAGAGGAGGGGCTGGAGGGGGTTGCAGTTTGGAGCTGGCTGGGGAAAAGGAGGGAGGCCCAGCACTGGTGTCTGAGCTCCCTACCCCACAAGACGGATCTGACTGAGGGGTCCTGTTTTCCATACCTACAAGCTCTGCTTTGACTATGTTCCTGTCATCTAATAAACCTTCTGTTTTACTGGCTGGTTGATAGTCACGGTGAATCGCAGGAAGTGGGGGGTGCAGGAGTCAGGGCAGGGGGCTGGGGAGGTGTGAAGGGGGTGCAAGGGTCAGGGCAGGGGGCTGGGGGGGTGTGAAGGGGGTGCAGGGGT